ACATGTGGCTAGAAGTTCCAAACTTTTTGCAAAGGGTAAAAGAATGGTGGTCAGAAGATGGGATTAGGGCTAGAAATAAAGTGGTGAGATTCTCTAAGAAACTGAAAAGATTGAAGGAAATGGTCAAGGAGTGGAACAAAGAGGAATTTGGAAAACTTGAGGTCATAAAGGAGGAATTAGCCAGGAAAATAGAGGAAGTGGACCAAAAGAAGGCCAGGAAAGAGTGTGGGGCGGAGGATAGAATAGAAAGATGGAACTTAAAAGTGCAACTGGAAGAGATTCTGAGAAAAGAAGAGATTTCTTGGAGGCAAAAATCTAGATGTAAATGGATTCTAGAAGGGGATGGAAATACCAGTTTTTTCCACTCTCTAGCAAATGGGAGAAGACGGAAAAACCAAATTTCCAATGTAGAGGTGGATGGAAGAGTGATAACTGCAAAAGAGGAAATTGAAAGATGCTTTGTGGATCACTTTAAGTCAATCCGAGCATCCTCTGATGAAAACATGGCAGAATTGGGAGATTTACAGTGGGACAAAGTGCCAGAATCCAAAGTTAACCTCCTAGAAAGAGCTTTCACTATTGAGGAGATACATGAAGCAATATTCTCGATGGATAGATCTAAAGCACTAGGGCCGGATGGATCTTCAATGGCTTTCTATCAAGATTGTTGGGAAATTTTGAAAGATGAATTAATGGATGCATTTGTGGAGTTCTATCAAGAAGGAAAATTATCGCCTGGAGCAAATGCAACTTTTGTTGCTTTAGTGCCAAAAAAAAGGAGGCCAAAACCCCTAAGGATTATAGACCGATAAGTCTTGTGGGTAGCTTGTCTAAAATCATTGCTAAAGTCCTGGTTGGTAGATTGAAGACTATACTGCCCTATATTATCTCTCAGAACCAAGGAGCTTTTGTAGAGGGGAGACAAATTGTGGATCAAATTTTAGTGGCAAATGAGTGTGTGGCAGCTAAGAGAAAACAAGGTGATAAAGGTTTGATTTGTAAATTGGACCTTGAAAAAGCTTATGATATGGTGGATTGGTCCTTCCTGTTGAATTTAATGGAAAAGATGGGGCTAGGTGAAAGATGGAGGATATGGATTAAAGAATGTATTAGCTCAACACATTTTTCTATTCTGATGAATGGGGTAGCAAAAGATTTCTTCCAGGCTAAAAGATGACTAAGACAGGGTGACCCCTTATCTCCATTCTTATTCACCTTTGTGGCTGAGGTTTTGAGTAGACAACTCACCAAAGTTGATCAAAAAAACCAGTTTAAAGGTTGGAGGATGGGTAGATCAGAAGTGGTGGTGTCTCAATTGCAATTTGTTGATGACATAATTATTTTCTGTGAAAGCTGTGATGAAGCTAGTTTAAGGAATCTGAAAAGATTGGTGAATGAATTTCAGCAGGCATCCAAATTGAAAGTCAATTGGGGAAAAAGTTGTGTAGCCGGAATCAACATTGAAGGGGGGGGGGGTATCCAAGCCATGGCAAATCTGCTAGGTTGTGAAGTGAAAAATTGGCCTCTGGAATACCTAGGAATGCCCTTGGGTGGGAATCCGAAATCTGAAAGCTTCTGGAAACCGGCGGTACAGAGGTTCATGTCTTCATGAAGAAGTTGGCAATGTGGAAGAGAAATTATATTTCCTTAGGGGAAGAATCACCTTGATAAAATCAACCCTTGCAAACCTTCCCACTTACTTCCTTTCCACCTTTAAGATCTCGGTGAAAATAGCTAGGAAATTAGAGAAGATTATGAGGGACTTTTTGTGGGAGCCAGGTGAAGAAAAGAAAGATCAATTAGTGAAATGGGAGCAAGTTTGTTACCCTAAGGACCAGGGTGGATTAGGTATAGGGAACCTAATAAAGAGAAACAAAGCCCTCCTAGGGAAATGGCTATGGAGATTCCCTTGTGAGGAAGAAAGGTTGTGGCACAGGGTCATTAAAAGCTTACATAGTGATGCAGATAACGGCTGGAATGCAAAATTAGCCCCCAATGCAGCTCCATCGTCTCCTTGGAAGGCAATCTTTGAGGTATATCCAACTTTTCTTCAATTTATCAAGTTTGATGTTGGTTGTGGCAACAAAATTTTATTCCGGGAAGACCTTTGGGTTGGGGATGTGCCTCTTATGTTCAATTTCCCAGACCTTTACTCTTTATCAAACTATAAAAACAAACCTGTTGCTAGGTTTGGTGTGCTTTCAGTCAGAATCAGGGATCTCTTGGGATTTTGGCTTTAGAAGAGGGTTAAGGAAAAATGAGTGTGAGTCTCTAGTGCTGTTGATTTCAACACTTGAGAGGGTCTACTTGGACCAATCTATAGCTGATTGTAGAGTGTGGTCCCCAACTTCTGATGGTTTATTTTCCTGTGCATCTTTCTTTGGTTTGCTCACTCATATTAACCCTATGGGGGTGATCTTCCCAGTGAGAGAAATTTGGACTAAACTGATCCCTCCAAAAGTACAAGCTTTCTATTGGGAAGTGTTCCTAGGGAAGGTAAACACTTGTGATGTGCTACAGAAAAGGAGGCCAAAC